TATTAGGTCCAATGAGTGGGGAAGACACCAGAGTATGGGAGAAGGGTAAAGCTTGGATATCATCCTCATGTTACTATTTTGTTTAGTTTTTTTCTAATTTACTTAAATGTTCTACATACCTATGGAGAAGATAGAGTAGAAACATGCCAGGCTTTCAACCTGTGTTATGGTAAAGATAGGCTGGAATAGAGATGCTAATATAGGTGTGTTGAAAAGCAAAATTCAGCTGAGTCAGTTTCAAAGTTTTTTTTTTTTAAAGATTTATTTATTTTTATACAAGAACTGGGGTACGGGTGAGAGGTGCGGAAGGGTGAGAGAATTCATCAGAGACAGAGAGGGGAGCAGAATAGGCAGATGGACCAAAGACACTGCTGAGGGGAGCAGCGGGCGAGGCAGGAGATCTGCCATGCCATGTGGGTATCTCCCTGGCCAGCCAGGAATTGAACCCACGCTGCAGAGGCTGCGGACAGCTTCACAGTGCTGCTCTCAACCAAAGGGGAGGCCCAAAGATCTTTTTTTTTTTTTTTAAAGATTTATTATTTTTATTTATTTATGCATATAAGAACTGGGGTGTAGGCCAGAGGTGCGAGGGGTGAGAGGATTCACCAGAGACAGAATGGGGAGCCTAACAGACAGATTTACTGAAATATACTGCTGAGGGGGGCAGCAGGCGAGACAGGAGAGTCTGCTGCACTATGTAGTTTAGCTCCCTGGCCAGGGGTTGAACTCTGGCAATAGCTTGATAATGCTAAGACTTTAACCCCTGCACCACCAGGGAGACCCCCAATTTCAAAGATCTTACTGGTTTATTCAACAATTCATGAATTGGTTACCATCCAAATCTAGCAAATAGAAAGGAGCTCTGAGGTGATATACAAAGTGAAAAACTTTTGGAGGCAGAGGGAACAACAAGGAAGTTAAACTTAACAAAAACAGAATAGGTTGTGATAAGGTCACTTTCTTTTGGGAGCTGGCAGGGGTCTGTCAGGCAGATGAAGTAACCATTGCTGATTGAGCGATTTCTGATTCACTGCTTTAAAATTACTTTTCTGGGAGAAGCTGTAACTGTAATTAACTAAAGTGTCACTTTGGAGCTACAGGGTTTAGTACAAGTGACTCCATTTGGGGGCCAGACTTCCTCCTCTCTCTCCCTCCCTTCCTTTGAAATTCAAGTGCCTTATTTTAAAAATATGTAGCACTTCAAATACACAGAAAATTATAGGTAGTAATATATATTAATATAACCAAACCTACATAGACACCCTCAAGTTGACAAATACTAATGTTTTGTCATATTTTCTTCTGAGTTTTATTTATTCATTTTTATTAAGGTGACATTGGTTTACAATGTTATTTGTGTTTTAGAGGTACAGGAGCATTTTGGGCCCTTTTTTATGTTTTTAGCAGGTGAAAGGGAAGGAAAAATGGAAGGGGAACCAAATTCAGAAGGAAAAATTCATCTGCCCTTTAAAAAAAGGCGCAGCCGTGCTGTAAAGCTGTCCGCAGCCTCTGCAGTGCAAGTTTGATCCTGGCCTGCCGACCAGAATGACCTCTCCTGCCACACCCGCTGCTCCTCTCAGCAGTGTCTTCCATCTGTCTGCCTGTTCTGCTCCCTGCTCTGTCTCTGGTGAATCCTCTCACCCTCCTGCGCCTCTGACCTGTACCCCAGCTCTAGCATAAAAATAAATAAATCTTAAAAAAAAAAAAAAAAGATCTAAAGGTGGGATCTGGGCTTTAAAAAAAAAAAAAAGGTTCATAGGGAATTCTGTTTCTCAGTTGGAGCAGTGACTACAAACTCTTTTGGGCAGAAGGAGGCCAGTGTGGTTGCTGCTGAGAGATAGCTAAAGATATGGAGGGTGAAATGAGACTCTGTAAGAAACTGAAAGAATTTTGACTTTAACTCTGTGTTTTGAATTGACAAAATACTTAATCTTCATTCTTGGTTAATCTCATTTGCAGATTATTTTATCATTTGGGAGGTGATTTGTCAAACCCCCTCCTTCTTTCTCACCACTGCTCTTATGAGTCGTCTTGCTAAACTTGAGGTGAGGGGTGGTGTAGTCAAAACTGGAAGAACAAGTCAGATCTGGGTTGTCTGTCTATTAGGATAAATGAAGAAGGGGATTGAAGACATAGAGCCAAAGAAAGGGCTTTGAGGCCCCAGGCCTAGCAAGAGGGAGGAAAGGGCAGCAGAGTTGGCCAGCGGGAGGAAGGAATTCAGGAAATGACGTGCAGACATGGCAGTTTAATTTATCTGCATCAGAAATCTTGAAATCACTTAGGGAAGCTGCTTGTTCTCTCACAATCTTGTCATCAATCTTGGGTTTCAGTTTCCTCTTACCTGTCTTCTGATTTTCTCCATGTGAAGATATTCCCATTGATAAAGTAAACGCAAATGGACTTGTTGAAATTCCACTTTCTTTGTCAATTCTTAACCCAGACATCTCCATTCTGTTCTCTTCCTGCAGATACAGCAATTTTTCTATACAAATCTGATCATATTGGGCATCCTCTCACATTTAGGAGAAAGGGGTCAACAAAACTTATCTAATTTTGTCCCGTTTATTATTTTGGCATCATCTCTTGCCTCTTTCCTATCCCTTTTTGCAACCTGGTCATTCCCAGAGATGTAATTTGTCGTTAGAATTAAGTTTCTCAACAGCGGCATGATTTTGGGTCAGTGTTTTGTTTGTTGAGGGAGGCTGTCCTCTGCATTGCAGCATGTTGAGCGGTACCTTTACACTACCCACTAAATACTGATTGCATCTACCCAGTGGTGACAACCAAAAATCTCTCCAGGCATTTCCAAATATCCTCTGTAGGACGGGGTCGCTTTTGTTGAGCAGCATGCTGAGATGGAGTGGAATGTTCTAAGTAGGCCTTCCCTTTCCACCTGCTGTTCTTTCTGCAGTTACCTTGTCCTCTGTGATCATCTTGGCAAACACCCATTCATCTCTCACCATATCCACATAGTCCTCCTTCATTGGTGAAATCTTCCCTGAGCCCAAGGTGGAGTTAGGTGAGCTGGCCTTCCCAGTTACATAGCACCTTGCTGTATAAGAGCAAGGTGCAATTGTATTCTAATTCTTAGAGTTTGTCTGTCTCTGTATCAGACTGAAGATTAGAGAACTAGGCTTTTTAACATTTTGTCATGTGTACTAAGCTCAGTATCTGCCCACATATTAACAATAACTACTTATATCTTTAAAAGTTTGTAAGTTTAAATGTTGGGTTTGATTAGAGCAGTTTAGAAATAATATTTAAAGGCAAGTACATTTTTTTTTTCTTCAAAGCTGATGTGATATATATGATATTTAGGCTTAATGTGTCACTGCACTTGAAATACAATACATATAGTTCATGAATAGATGCCTCTGTTAAACTTGTTTTTTAGCACTGTTTATAGATTATCTTGCATATCTACAACCCAATATTTTTTAAAAATTGGTAATTTATGCAATGTTACAGAGACACTATATAGTAGTATGTGTATTTATAGATATGTGACTCTTGAATTTGAGGATTTTATTTGAAAAGTACTGGTATATAGACATTCTTGAATAATCACCTTTAGAGAGCCTTGTTATTATTTGACAATAATTTAGCATTTCTCATTTTGTTATTTAGGACCAATCTTTAAAAATAATTTCCATTTAGATAGTATGTTATCTATCAACAAAAATTGTGAAAAATATTTTGAACAATTCTAAGTAGTGCTACACTTTACCAATGCTGCCATCTCCTGGATATATTAAGCATTATAATTATCAAAAATCTTAACAGCTAATACTGGTTTCCAAAGTAATGTGATATATGGCTATTAAAAAAATTATTTTTAGTTTGAAAGACCTGGAGATATATTTATATATTTATATGTGTATATCTATATCTATATTCTATTTTCCCCATAAAATACTTGGCAGTTTATTTACCCCTAATGCTGAAGGCAGATGGTATTGTAGTATAGGCTACTGCACTGAATGAATACGCAAAATATGTTAATTTTGTCCCTCTTGGTCTATTTCCACTCTTCCCTACTATATTTTTTATCTTAGAGGCAGAGGCTGACATGACCTTATCAATAAGCTTCCTTGACTTTTAACATCTAATTGGGTCTGGGTAGTAGGAAGCAATTCTAAGGGTATCCGAGAGAGTAGAATTGAAGATGGCAAGACCAACCCCCTCCTTTTTTCCTCTTCAGTCTTTTCAGTGTGAAGATGAGGAGGATGAAGAGTTTTATGATGATCTACTTCTCTACTTAATGAATAATTAATACAGATATGTGTGAATCAATTTATCAGTAAGGCTTTTGGCTCCTCAGAGTTAGGTTCAGTGGGAGTCAAGAATTATATACAGATTTTTAACTGCTTGGTTGGGGGGCAGGTCAGTGCTTCTAAACCTCCCCCTATGTTGTTCAAGGGTCAGCTGTAGTGTGGAATATAGGAGGTGGGATCCTTAGGAGTAATTTCAGAGACTGCCTGCCACTGCATGTTTCTTCAGTATTTGCTAAGGGATTTAAAATATTTCAATTCTTTTTAGTATGGTGAGCTCTATACTTAGATTGTGAAGAGCTATCCAGCAAACCGGAATTAAATATAAGACCAGTCTTTTAGGGAACATTTTTAGGGGGACCTAGTTGTTTAAAGAATTGTTTCTTTAACTCATATCTATGATTGCTCGCTTTATATCAATTTATATGTAACTAGAGATTGTATGTCTTGGTGTACCACTGGTGCTTGGATCTTGTGGAGAGAACCTGCCACAGGGATTCTGACAGCTGAGGGGCCACCATGTGATTGGTGCTCTGATAGCTGAGGGGCCCCAGTGTGACTGCTGCTGGTATCTTTGGAGGGGCACAGTGGAAGTGGGGCTGGGAGTGCCAAAAGGAGTTGGAAACATTGCTGCTGCTGCTGGGAGGGTTCTACCTGAACGGAAAGCATGAAAAAAAAGTACATTCTCTCCTCCTAATTCTAATCTTCTCTAGTGTCTTCCATTGGCAGAATCTAACCAGATGCTTGCTGACAAGGATGTATATGAAGTGTACTTTGTTGATTTTCAACCACTGGGTCACCTTTACTGAAAGGTAAGCTTGGGGTCTAGAGACATGGCAGAGTTTGAAAGAAGGAGAATAAACATTGAAGTGTCTACTCTGCACTAGGTTTTTATGATATCATTTGGTAATTCACAATTATTTGATTAAAAATCCCAATAACTATCATACTTCACTTCTTTTGACTCCTTAACATCTATGTACACATATTTTATAGACTATCATTAACTACAGTCTCATTTTTCCTTCTTCCTTTTAAAAGATTTATTTAATCTCTTTATGCATACAAGAGTTGGGGTGTTGGCCAGAGTTGTGGGGTTGGTGGTGTGTGAGAGGATTCACCAGAGACAGAGTGGGGAGCAGAACAGGTGGACCCACTGAAATACACTGCTGAGGGGAGCAGCAGGTGAAACAAGGGAGATCTGCAGTGCCATGTAGATTAGCTCCCTGCCTGGGGATTGAACTCATGCTTTAGTGGCTGGTGATAGCTTCATAATGCTGAGACTTAACCCGTTGGACCACCAGGGAGGCCTTCTAACAACATGCAATTATCCCTGTGAGAAGTGAGTATATTTTCACTCTTTTCCTAAAGAAAGCAAGGCACAAAGGTCAGCTTCAGTTATATCAAGACTGAGATAGATGCAAAGTAAGCTACCACTAACAACACTCTTTATATAATATAATTCAGGAAAGAAGGAAGAAAAATTAATTAGTATGTAAATAAATTGTACATATATGTGTTTATGTTACATGTATACACATTTATGTATATCTATACTCATGCATATACATGCATGCATGTATATATACACACACATACTGTATGGAGCAAGAAACATTGCATAATTGCTCTAGTTTTATAACTAGTCACAAAGCCACAGTTGATATTTATTTATTTTTTTTTATTATTCACAGCTTGATTACATGTTCCATTTGTCCTAGCCAGCACATCAGTTGACTAGAATTCTTTACATTGTGGGGTAAGCACATTTTCAAGCTTTAAAGACCAAAGTCCATAGTAGTCCTACTTTAAGTTGCTACAGAACCATAATTTCCCATTAACTTTTTTCCCAAAGATTTATTTATTTATGCATACAAGAACTGGGGCACAGGCCAGAGGTGCAGGGGGTGAGAGGATTCACCAGAGACAGAGTGGGGAACAGAACAGGCAGACTGACTGAAATACACAGCTGAGGGGAGCAGCGGGCGAGTCAGGAGAGGTCTTCTGCGCCATGTGGGTAACTCCCTGGCTGGCAGAGGGGTCGAACTCATGCTGCAGAGGCTGTGGACAGCTTAACAGTGCTGTGCCTAATCCCTTGCGCCACCAGAGAGGACCGCCCATTAACATTTTATAATGGACATGAAAATGCTAAAAGGCTGCCCAGAGAATCCTTTGGGTTGGAGATGTAGTCTCCTCTCTATTCTTCTGTAGCAGCTACTAAATTTCGTGTTGCTTAAGAACAGTCACCCCCAGAGAGTACAATAATCCTTGACATGACTGGTGCTTCAATGGCATAAGGAACATTAAGTGACCATGTAGCTGTTTCTACTTCCGGTTCAATGGACTCATTCCATAATAATGGAGGCATCCTTGTCTTTAAATAGAAGGGAAAGTGAACACAGTGAGTGTCTATTAGGTGTAACCGAGAGAAAAGCAATTTCTATTATTATTCCTTGATTTCTGAACCCATATATTCTGACTGTTAGAGGAATAGCATAATATTTGGTGCACAGATGATATCCTGGACGACTGTTCCTACTCCACAGGATGTTGTTTCTCAGTGTCTCTTTATTAAGCTATGCCATCAATTCAGGTACTTCTGTGAGATGTGGCATGTGGTAAGAATAGTCTAGTCCATGGACACGATTGTATTTAATGCATTTTTTTCCCACTGTGAAATGATTTCTTTAGAGCAATATGTGTTAATATTACATTAGAGAATATGGGACAACTTAAATCGTAATGGTGATTCTGGCAGAAGCATTACAAATCCACATCTAGAATAATAGTATATTTTGGTGAGATCCATTTTCTTCTCTTTCCATGATAGGAGCTGATAATATCAATCTGTCACTAGGCAGGTAGCTGGTTTCTCTGGGGAATGTACTATATGCTGTACTGGGGTCTTGAATCTGGCCTCTACTATTCACAGATTGGGTCCTTAGAAGTGGTCATAGCCACATTAGTCTATGAGGAGAGTTGATAAGCCCCGGCCACCATGTCTTTTTATATGTGAGCCTGTGAATGAACTTTAAGTTTCCTGGGAAAAGAGACTTTCTGAAATCCACAGATTATGTTAGTTTATCCATATGATTATTAAGAATTTTGTCTGTAGTGGTACCCTTTGGAGAATAATTATATGGAACTCCAAAATTCTTGTACTTTATGTACTTTATGAAAGGTTCCTACACATGACTCTCTCTTCTATGCTTTTTATGGAACAATGTTTTAATCTTTCTCTTTTCACTGCCCATAAATGAATGTAGGCATCTCTCTGGCAGACATAGTATATGATCATATATATCACTTGAAGTTCTGCCCATTAGGAGAATTTCCCTAAATTATTGCCTAGCACTGTATTTAGCTATCATACTGCAGCAGTGAATTTCCAGTTTATGCAAGCATTCAGTGTGAAACCATTTGTAAACAAATTCTGAGTTAAGTGACCACAAAAAATTTCCATGAGGGGAGGCAATGAAGCAGGACCAGGTGCCCTGGAAATCTGTTGCCACCTGTTCCAGTAACTAGCTTTTTTCTTCAGTACATTTTTGAGACTGATATTATGTATTTATTATGTGATAATTTACATAGATAAAATCATATATTTAATGTTATGAAATTGACATATTAACTGATATTACTAGAAAGGATCTCAAAAATATTCTTTCCAGTCAAAACCATCCTAGGGTCTCTTTTCCTAAATTTGCAGCAATAATTGTATTCTCTAGAGGCACACAGTAATTTTTATTGTGTCTGCCCAACGTAATATTTGCTATGGGCAGCTCAGTTCCATTGGTCATTTGAGGACTAATGATTAGGCAGTTAATCTTTACCAAGGCTCCAGGTCATGTGTCTCCAAAGAAGTGATATTATCAGTAAAGTAAACCATGGCCTTATTCCCACTCTTTAGATAGCTATGTTATGATTCTCTTATTGCCACTTTCTACATGTTCCAAATAACATTCAATCAGTAGCAAAAGCTGAATATCGTTGGATCTAGTGGGCCATAAGGCCTAAGTGGCAGAACAGCTTTTTCTTTGCAACCAGGATCCATAATAGTGCCTTTTGTTGCTTATGGGACCATTCAAACTGGCAGCATGCTCCAATGTATTTATTGTTCTCCAATTCAAAGGACATCTCCAAAGTGCCTCCTTCTACTTGGTGGCCAGTGCAATGTTCAGTAACTTGTCATTTATTTTAAAGGAGCTATCCTAACATAACCTAGCCTGCACAGTCCCTAGAATTTTCACTGGTGTGTCAGGGTCCTTGAATTTATTGGGGTTTATTTCCTATCCCATGCCATGCATGTATGTTACTTTGGCAAACAGGATCCTTGTTATTTCTTGCTCATCTGTTCTATCAGCATAGTGTTCCATGGCATTTCAAGGCTGTCAAGGTCTTTCTGAACTAGATCAGAAGTTGCTATTTTCTGTGAAGTCATATGGTGGATATTTTGTGCTTTGTGAGCCATAGGATCTTATGTAAAACAATTATGTTGGAGTAAATATGTTGGAGCAATTCAATTCTGTGGTTATAGCGGGAAAACAGTCATAGATAACACATGGATAGCATGTAACTATGTTGCAATAATACTTTATCGACATTGAAATTTGAATTTGATGTGTTTTTCACGTCATGAAACATTATTCATCTTTGGACTATTGCCAATCATTTGAAAATATAAAATAATTCTTAATTTATAGGTCATACAAAAATAATTGGCAGCTGGATTTGACCTGTGGGTGGCAATTTGCTGACAACTGAATTAGATTATGGCAGAAAGCAAGAAAATGAACATAGACCAATGAGGCAAAGCCTTGAAAATATATTGCTGACCCTATCAGGTGGAAGCAGATTGCTCCAGGTTATCCTTATACATTGTTATATAAAAATAAGCAAATGAAATGTCAAAAGCTGTCTACTAGATGACAGGGGTGTATTGATTCACTCCATTAAAGAAACCAAATCTGAAACATTAAAGAAACCAAATCTGAAATAGCAACTGAAGTTGAAGTTACTGCCTAATCAATTTTATAATCGATAGTCATTGTCCATTTGAACCATAAAGGCAGGTTGCATGGTGATTTGACAGGAATCACTACTCTAGTGTCTTTCCAGTTTTTAAAGGTGACAATGATCTCTCATATCCCTCCAGGAAATTTCGAAATAAATAAGAACAACAATTAGCTAGAAATGATTATGTAAAGAGGATGGAGTCATTACATCCTTTCCCCTTGCTTTTTATTTCTCCCAAACCAGTATTTCTTCCAAACTATAAATAAATATATAATCCTAATGTGAACTACCCATTTTATATTTTATATTCTTTTTTTAAAGATTTGTTTATTTATACAAGAACTGGGGTACAGGTCAGAGGTGCGGGAGGGTGCGAGAATTCACCAGAGACAGAGCAGGGAGAAGAATATGTAGATGGACCAAAGACACTGCTGAGGGGAGTAGTGGGTGAGGCAGGAGAGGTCTGCCACGCCATGCAGGTTTCTCCCTGACCAGCCGGGAATTGAACCTGAGCTACAGAGGCTGTGCACAGCTTCACAGCGTGGTGCTCAAACCGCTGTGCCTCTGAGGAGGCCCATGAACTACTCATTTTAATTAAGAATGATATACTATATTGGCTCATCAGTTGTAATATATTACAGCTATGTGAAAAATTAATAATAGGAAAAACTTTGGGGATTGGAAGTGGGGATGGGGAGTATTTGAGATCTAAAAAATTTACGTTGTAGTATAAGGTAAATATCTATGTATGTGCATGTCATGTACACACACAAATATAATTAAAAGTGGTTGTTAC